TGACCAATGTGACTGCCGTGGTCCGCACCATCTTTAAATGTAATAACCAAAACAATTAATGTATACGATAAATGTGTACACATTCTAAAAAGTTGTATACAAAGGGGGAAAAAAATCACTTGCCGGGAATTCAAGCTGATTATTACTGAAATGTGAACTCTCTGTTTAGCATCATTATCGATTATTGCAAGACAACAACACTGTCTCCTTTTGATTGGTCAGTTTTGCTACATTTACGAAACGTGCGTTCTGAAGCTTGTTATCGGAAATTACGTTTAACGCTATATTTAGGTTATCATCATCATTTTTCTTCTTCTTCTTCTTCTTCTTCTTCTTCTTCTTCTTCTTCTTCTTCTTCTTCTTCTGCTTTTGCTGCTGCTTTTTCTTCTGCTTTTGCTGCTGCTTCTTGTTTTCTTTTTTTTTCTTTATAAGCGAATAAAGAAAAGATTGGTAACCTATTAAAATAAAAACGTGGTTATTTTTTTTTCTCAGGCGTGCAGGTGTTTTGGGAAACAGACAGAGTCGCTGGTTCTGCACCACTGCATGGCGATTTGACGCATGCTAAGCTAGATATTGTTTTGGCTTTCTGTGAGCAAGTGAACAATACGGAAGTGCAAATTGATCGTTACATTGTTAAGAAAGTGGTGCAGCCTGGAGGGACCTTGGAATCTGGCCGACACTCTACGCTCAGAGAAAAGGCAAATTTTTACTGGTAGCATCGGAATAACGGCGTCTGTGGCTTAGGCGTTGCGAACGAGCTTCGTACTGCCGAGATGCCGGGTTCTATCCCAGTTGCAGCCCTTACGTTGGTTTCGACAGAGGTATCGAAAAGCCGACAGTCCAGGAAGCAACGGCAAACTACTAGACGTAAATTTGCCTAGAAATACCACAACAGCCAAACAATGCTGGAGTTAGTTCTGCACTGTCCAGTAAAGGATAAGCAAGTAAATTTTTTAACTATCAGAAAAAGAACTCTGCGTTGGCGCTGTAAATGTACTTATGAGAATACCTATATCTTGAGTGCAATTATGTCAACACAAAACTCAACTCAAAATCACTTAACTGAACTCAGTAAAGAGTTTAGGACAAGAATAGTAAATATAAAACAGAAATAAACTTTCTAAAATTTAAATTTTCGTCAGAAATATGAATGTGTATAATCAAGTAAATGCAATATTTTTAACACAGACAAAAACCACGCTAACAAATATTAAGTTCTCAAAACTGAACAATTGTATTATATAAGGAAAAAAAAAAAAAAAACTACTGCAGACAAATTCTGAAGAACATTTAAAATCGAAAGCTGAGAAAAGACGTGAGGTTCAATGAAATAACATGTGTTTGTATAAACCAGGAACTGGATGTGAATTGGGCACAGAGGGACGTATGAGAGGAAGAGGAAGACGAGTTTCTACTCAGTGTGCTGCGGGAACAGAAAGCACCCACACTTTTTACATTTGCTGCGGGAGACGGAGCACCTTTGGGTATGCCCCGCGTGCTATAGTGTTGATTATTAAATCAGTATGTCAGTAAAGACTTAAAATTACCTCTTAAATAATATGCACTGTTTTTCTCCTAATTTGATCGGCGTGGTCTACATCGCCCAGTACGAATGTTCCTGTATCTATCGCTTTTGTAGCCAGCAAACCCACTCTTATTTCCTTGTACTAATGCACATCATGGATAGCATATCCACGCGAGTCCCAAGATGTTGATGTACCGATGCATGCCATACACTCATGCCATATTTGTTTGTCTATTTTGAACCATCCGACTCAGTACCGACTCAGAAACAGTCACCATAATTCCTCTAGTAACTACCATTTTCTGCTGTCCACTGCCTCCACCTCTATACCCATGCTGAAAGCTGTAGGCAAACAAGCACCCTTGTGTTTCGTCACGATCTTTACCTGCATGCACTCTAGCTGAAAATCCCCAGCCGGATCTGTAACCCCCGATGAACAGAACCATTAGAGAATACTGCTACATCATCTAGCCCAGCGTTTTCATGTCTGTTGTTGCACCTCTAATTCTACCATTCCGTTGCACCACTTTATAAATTCTCTTATTAATGAGCTGTTGAGCTGTTGTGTGTGTTCCGATCGACCTCTTCCTGCTCTCTTTGTATTTACTCGACAGAGGCCACCAGCCTGATGGTATCCTCAACCAGGGTCATCCATAACCTTTTTGTTTTCAACCTGTCTTTTCATAAAACCTTTCAGATTGCCACGATAACAGGATATCAAAAAACATCTTGGGCATTAAAATTTACGAGATAGAACGGTTATTTCCTCAGAGCGTAAATGAAAGAGAATTTCTGTAAAAGGCCTGCTAAAGGGGGGTGATGAAAGTTAGAAGATGATTGTGTAGATGAGACGGTTCAAGTCGCCATGTTCGTCACATCATCTACTAAACGTCACTGGTTCATTCAAATAAGCCAACGCTTCCAGAACAGCAATGGCCCTTACCCGCATATGACTGCAGGTTACACCCGGCTAGTGTAATCGTTACGCTTGCCCGAACTGTAACTTTTTTGGAGGTTCGGGGTATCTGGGATTTCGCCTTGGTATGGTAAACTTTTGGATAGTAGCCGAGAGGGGACAAACTGATCAACTGATCGGAGTATAGAAGCAGCAGTAAGGAATGGCAACACGGAAACTTGAAATACATTTCCGACGAGACAATAAAGGATATGTGGTTTGAGCCTGGCTACATTTTTTCCTAGAAAATTTGACCTGCAGAATGGAACCGATAATGAACAAGTCTACCTAGAGCCTGGAGGGTAAGCTATTCTCCATTGAAGGTAAAAATACCATGAATTTATGGAAGGGATAATTAATGTTGAAATATAGCAGCAGAAGACGTAACATTCACGCGTATGATAAATGTTGTGGCCCCAACAGCTGAATGGATTTGGTTATCTTTATCTTTGCGCTCGGTTTTGTATGCTCAAGATATGTAGTCAGGTGAATACGTATGTCAGTTGTGCACGTTCCTTGTAGTTCCTTATAGCTTGCTCTGCAAACTTTGCTCTTGGGACCAGAGTTTTCTTCGTAGTTGTGAATATAGTGTGGTCTGGAGGATCTGTTCAGGGGATTATAGTGCAACTGACAGGCACACTTCAGGGACTGTACTGTCTCTTTATTTTGTGCATGTGATAGATGAGCCTTCATTGTCCTATCCGTAGACGGGAAATTGTTGCCTGTTGCTTTCTGTTGAGTTCGTTGAGAAGGTCACGTGCATGTTTACTGGTGGTTTGTTCTCTTAACAATTCCGTGTATTTCCCCTCCATATGTGATTCCATTTCTTGTAATGACAGTGCATGGGTGTATTGCTTCTCTTTTGTTTCATTCTTTGCAAGTCTGTCTGCTAACACATTTCTAGGTATGCTGCAGTGAGCCTGTATCCATCAGAGAACAATTTGATTGTGTTTTAAAAGTTTATTTAGCTAGCCAGTCAATTGTCTTTCCACGTTGTCTCGTGGATTTATCTGAGGTAGGTAGGTAGGTAGTTGTACCCCAGCAGGACATCACACAAGCGATTAACACCCGGACACACAAAGTGCCATCATGTGGATGAGGATCACCCGTGGAGAGTTGCCATATCTATGGCCCGGCTAGATTCAGGGCTCCGAGCAGAAGCAGGGTGGGGCTTCAAATTTAAAAAAAAAATTGCGTCCCACATAGGGACGACTTATATTTACATTTATCTGAGTCGCTTGGTGAACTGACATACAGTCACACAGGAAAACAGTTTTGCTGTCTTTTATTTTTCTTTCTTCAAGAAGTTTTGTTGTATCAATAATTGCTTGCTGCTCTTCTCTTTAGTTTGTTGAGTTTAGCAAGTTTAAATGTAGAAGTTATAACATCCACGCATTATAACGATCGTAATGATTTCGACAGGTGAAGTCATGTAATTCAGCTACCAAAAATTACAACACCCCATGCAATATGATGATCGTTGGAAACGATTTTGTTATCCAATATAATGCGCCCAATATAATCTACCGGTATAGAACAGATGAAGCTGGAAATATGAGCCGAATATATAGTCAAGTAACGGGAGAAATAAGAGTCCCCCGCTACCTCCGTATCTATAGCAAACAAGTGACTATTTTCGTGTTTATTATTCACCTCGATACTTCAGAACTACCAGACAAACAAGATGAAAAATGTCTTATGTTGATGAGCACATAAAAATTATAAGTAATTTCAGGCATTGCCATACTCTAAAACTGTCAACTCAACCTAGAGGGAGGGTTCACACTACATGATACGTGTTGCTGGAGTGTGTGTGTGTATAGGTAGGATCGACATAGGCCAGCCGGTAAAGCACTTGATTTTAAAACCTCCTTTTCAACCTTCGCCTGTTTATACAGTTGCTTTGTTATGTGTAGGCTAATCAAAATCATCATCATCATCGCAATCATCACATTCGTTTACTACGGTGGACTCCTCGATGAGTCGCTGCTGCATAGCTGTAATGACGTAAGCCAGATTCGTATGCACTAGCTTGTAGCTGTGTATCTGAAATGAAGTGAAGCACAGCGGTGTCAATAGTGCTGGGTATCTCAGTAGTTGTCACAACACTGATCTAGATAGAATAAGCTGTGACAACTGGACAGAGGTATGGAAAGGGAGATAAGTGAATGCAGCGAGAAAGGGTTATTGGTATTATTCTGTCATAAACGGAAGCGAAATGATCTGTCATCAATGCATGACAATGAGTTCCGATGATGGACACTTAGAGCATACTTTAAACACAGAAAACAGGTAAGACGGACATATTATCACACTGCTGCTGGTACAATCTCCAGCTCAAGTCCCCCGTGTTGCAAATTTTTCATTGAGTGCGAAATAGGCTATCGAAATAATTAACACGCATCGCTGCCCATGTAAACTGATATAACCTGTGTCAGTAACTGAATATTATAATTATCAGGAAGTTAAGTAGTTTTACCCCCACCAGGACATCACACAAGCGATAAACGCCAGGTGACACAAAGTGCCACCATGCGGATGAGGATCATCCGTGGAGAGGTCCCAGAAAACCCTTTCATCCGTAAGGCCATATCTATGGCTAGATCATATGTATGGCCCGGCTATATTTAGGGCCCCCAGCAAAAGCCAGTGTGGGGCTTCAAAATTAAAAAAAATTGCAACCCACGAGGGGACGATTTCAACTGGTAGGTAGGTAGGTAGGTAGGTAGGTAGGTAGGTAGGTAGGTAGGTAGGCAGGTAGGTAGACAGGTAGGTAGGTAGGTAGGTAGGTAGACAGGTAGGTAGGTAGGTAGGTAGACAGGTAGGTAGGTAGGCAGGTAGTTGTACCCTACCAGGATATCACATAAGCGATAAACGCACTGTGACACAAAGTTCCACCATGCGGATGAGGATCACCTGTGGAGAGGTCCCCATTATACATCTCATATTTATGGCCCAGCTATATATTTTCAAGGCCCCGGCAATGGCCAGTGTGGGGTTTCAAAATAACCCCCAAAAATTGCATCTGACGAGAGGACGACTTCAGCTGGATTACAGAAAATATTAGTCTAATAAAGATCGAAGAAATTCGCCACTTTTTAAAACCAGCAGCATCTTGTAAATTACAAAATCATTAAAAACAGAGAATAACTCTAAATACTATATTTCAGTGAAACAAAGACTACAAATTCTGCCTCTATGCCACATAAGGAGTAATTTAAACTGTACACTGTGTGATAAAGGACATAAGAATAAGAACAATGCAGAGGAGGAGGATGACGACGATGGCAGAAACAAGACGATTAAAAAAAAAAGAAGAATAAAAAGAACAGGCGGATGAGAAGTAGGCAGAAAAAAAGAATAATTCTTGTGCAGACCAGTTTTCTACAGAGAAAATGCAACACAGTGAAGGCATACCTTGAGATGTTTCTTGGCAGATTCCATAAGAGCGAATACATCAGGCAAGGTGGTGTCGTCGTATGGAATCCTCATGTGCAGAAAGTCTTGATGGTCGTAGAATATCTGAAGCATGGACCAGGGGTTCAACCAATGAAGGTAAATAAGTAGGAGATAGATAAGCGGAGGGTATCAGAGTGTATGATATATAAGAAACAGATAAATTAATTAAAGATAAATGTGTAGAGGGTATCTGACAATACAATAAATGAGTAAAAGATAAATGAGTAGAAGATAAATGAGTAGAAGATAAATGAGTAGAAGATAAATGAGTAGAAATAAATTACTAGAAGATAAATGAGTAGAAGATAAATGAGTAGAAGATACTTGATTATATGATACATAAGACTGAGTTGAAGATAAGTGATTAGATCATAAATGAGTAGCAGATACTTGATTATATGATACATAAAAAACATAAGACTGAGTTGAAGATAAGTGATTAGATCATAAATGAGTATCAGATACTTGATTATATGATGCATAAGAAACATAAGACTGAGTTGAAGATCAGTGATTAGACCATAAATGAGTAGCATATACTTGATTATATGATGCATAAGAAACATAGGACTGAGTTGAAGATAAGTGATTAGACTATAAATTAGTAGCAGATACTTGATTATATGATAGATAAGAAACATAAGACTGAGTTGAAGATAAGTGATTAGACCATAAATGAGTAGCAGATACTTGATTATATGATACATAAGAAACATAAGACTGAGTTGAAGATAAGTGATTAGACCATAAATGAGTAGCAGATACTTGATTATATGATACATAAGACTGAGTTGAAGATAAGTGATTAGACCATAAATGAGTAGAAGATACTTGATTATATGATACATAAGAAACATAAGACTGAGTTGAAGATAAGTGATTAGACCATAAATGAGTAGCAGATACTTGATTATATGATACATAAGACTGAGTTGAAGATAAGTGATTAGACCATAAATGAGTAGAAGATACTTGTTTATATGATACATAAGAAACATAAGACTGAGTTGAAGATAAGTGATTAGACGATAAATGAGTAGAAGATACTTGATTATATGATACGTGAGAAACAGATAACTGGATTGAATAAAAGCGAGTAGAGGATATCTGATTATATGATACATGAGAAATATATAACTGAGTTGGAGACAAATGCGTTGAAGATAAATGCGTTGAAGAAAAAAGCGTTGAAAATAAGTGAGTAGAAGATATTGGATTTTATGATAAGTGAGAAACAAGAACTGAGCTGAAGATAGATAATGAGAAAAAAAAAATTAGCAGAGAGTAAATAAGTAGAGAAAACTGGATTATATGACGCACGAGAAACTGATAAATGAGTTGAAAATAAATGAGATGAATATAACTGAGTAGAACATAAACGAGAACAGGGTATTTGATTATATGATACCCGAGAAACATATTACTGAGTTGGAGATAAATGAGTAAAGGATTTTGGATACACGATAAATGAGAAGAAAATAAATGAGTAGAAGATAAAAGATAAGGAGGTTTAGAAGAAATGAGTAGAAGATAAATTAGCAGAAGAAAACGAGCACACGATACATGGGTACAAGATAACTGAGTAGAAGATAAATTAGTAGAAGACATTACCTAGTGTCTTTATAATTGTTTAGACTCAAACATGGCCAACATTGACACAATAATTGGTTTTAATGTCTAGACTTGGCATACAACGATACATAAATTATTCATGTTATTGTTAGCTCTCCAAAAATGGGGTGCTGGGCTTACGAGCAGCTAAACTTGTGGTCACTGTCTTTAGTTTCCCGACCGTAAGCTGTGGCTCATACCAAGTGTCAATGGGTACGGTCATCTGGTCATAATGGTTTTTGCCAGGAAACAAAGAAAAATGTTTATATGCCAAGAAAAATCATTTCTTGACACAACACATAAATCAGTGTCGGCGTCTATGGCTTAGGCACTGCGAACGCGCTTCGTGATGCTGGGGAGCCGGGTTCGATCCTAGCTTCAGGCCTTGCGCATAGCGTTAGTTTCGACAGTGGTACCGAGAAACCGGCCTTCCAGAAAGCAATGGTAAACTACTGGACGTGAATTTGCCTAGAAAAACATCAATAGCCAAAAAATGTTGTCTTTGGTTCTGCAATGTCCTGTAAAGGATACGCAACTAACATGAATCAGTGCTCCAAAGGTAAATGTGAAAACAGAACTTGACAGAGAAATTAGACTGAGGTGGTAAATAAGTTCGGCACAAGTTATTTAAAAACAAATGACAAGTTTTGGGGTGGTATAGGAGACGATTAAGAGTGTGCTAAAATGTTACATAAGTTCTGCTGTATGGCAGTGAATCTATCTTAGAATGTCAGTGAACAAATTAGGAAGAATTTGGAAGCAACAAAGATGTGGTTTCTGAAACGAATGTTATGAATGCCTTGGGCGGCTAGGGTAACTAACAACGTTTGCTTGAAAAAAGCTAATGAAAGTAGATCTCTATATACAACAATAAGAAAGAGACATACACTGTTCTTTGGCCACGTAATGAGAAGAGAGACACTAGAGAACATCGTGACGACTGGAAAGATCAGTGGGAAAAGGGGTAGAAGCATACCAAGAGAGATGATGCTGGATGGGCTGAACCGATGGCATGGAGAAATATCATCAAGAAAGCTGTTCTCGGCAAAAACGGATCGTGATCTGTGGAGACGCATGAGCGACTATGCTAGTTGGCAGGGCACATGATGATGATGATGATAATGATGATGATGATGATGATAATGAGAGGAGTTAGGTTGTCAGTCGGGCTGCACTGACTGGGTCTTGCTAGTCACACTGGACACTGCCATGGGATGTGGAGTCCCATGCTTTCTCGTGGCACAATATAACACTGTCGTCTGGAAAGACAGAAACGTGCTGTCAGCAACAGGGCAAGAGGGTCGACAGCCTGCGTTTTCAGGTTGAAGGCTAGTATCAACAACTGTGCAGGTTAGGGTTTGAATTTGTTGCTCCCTAAGTACGGTGGGGAAAAAAAAAGCTTCACTCCCTTCGCCTTACAAGGTTCGTAGCCAGGTCTACCGCATGAGGGCCCGTTGCTCCAACACCCGGCCTGCCGCCCCTCAAGATTAGTTTGTGTGTGTGTGTGTTTTTTTTTTTTTTTTCTCTCTTCTGTCTTACAGCTTCAGGTTTTGAAGAGGCATCACGTTTGTGTTTATGTTTATTCGACGGATCAACATCACGGCACACCGGTTTACCCCTAAGTGCTCAGTTCTACTTCTAACTGAAGTTGAGGCTAAAGATTCTTTGCGCAGTGCACGAACTTCGTTGCACCGGCGAGGATCCTAAAATACTTTAGGTAGGTTTTTACCTCCACACTGTGCCCGGGCAGCGCCGTTAGTCTACTTTTTTTTTCGATTTCCAACTGCCAATGGATTTTTTTACGTGCGCAAGAGTACACAAGGGCGTCCAAACATACTACCCAGACACCAGGGGAAAATACTAAAAGTCCATGTGAAAATATCCCAGCCTTCACCGGGGCATGTGCCTAGGACCTCCAGCACTCGAGGCGGACACCATACCTCGAGACCACTCAGCCCTCATCAAGTGCGAGCCCTGGTGTTTACTACACAGAATCTGGTATTTTTGACCTCGTATATTCCATCTACCCATCGCTGGCGTGGTCGGCCTCTAGGTTTGGTTTCCATGTGTCTAAGGACAGCGCTTTAAGGGGTGCACACTCTGATGGTAGTCAGATCTGCTTCCTTTGGATGTAGTTTACTACTGGTTTCGTTCCAACTGGTTTCTTGGCAACTTTATTTTCAATCCTGTCTCTTATAGTTACAATTAGGATTCGTTGCAGACATTTTATTTCTTTTGTTTGGAATTCCTTCCCCGCCCCTTTTTTGTTGTTTATGCCCACTTCTTTATTTTCAATCATGTCTCTTATAGTTACAATTAGGATTCGTTGCAGACATTTTATTTCTTTTGTTTCGAATTCCTTCCCCGCCCCTTTTTTGTTGTTTATGCCCACTTCTGGCCGCGGTAACACACTGTTGGTAAACATATTTACTGAATCGTGCTTTTTTGATGTCGTTACACGTTTGTTCAGCAATATTAGTTACATCAAAATCTTCATGAAACAATAAAAACATGGATAATTTGGTCAAGTGACAGGATGACACAAGAACACAGACCTCTTCTGTGGTATCGGCACTTGTGTTGCGATGTGTTAAACCCTACATCGTAGCACTAAAGACATTTCTATAATCGCCATTATCCATCTCCAACAGCTAGCGCTCAGTTCTCATCGACACGATACAAGCAACAGCCTGACTGTATGTTCATCTTGCGTCCGGCTCGCTTCATGATCCGGGTTTACGCCCGGGGGTAGGCAGAAAAGCCACATTTCTCCCAGATTAACGGTATTTACCATGTAATCAAGGCCGAAAAGTTGCGATATCCCTTGTACCGAGCAAAGGGTTAACAACTAATGGTTTCTGCATGTTTTTAAAAAAAAAAATTTCCATTGTGCTTTTCACCTGAGGGCTGAGCGACTACGGACAGATGCCTTCACTGTTCACCTCCCGCAACATCATTCTCCTCAGCCCGAGATGACCCATATGAGCTTCTGCATTGTTCACTTGCTCCCAAAGGAGGGTCATCTCGTGTAAGATGGCGAGCCACGACGGCGTGGGCTTGGGGAGGGGGGGGGGGCATTGATCAGGGCTCTTGATAAAGATTCTTTTTCTGTTTCTTATTCTTTTACCTCACCGATACCAGGTTGTAGTCCAGTGCCGTGGTTTTCTGTACTTATCTTATACTTCTCGAGTGGCTTGTGCTCTGGATTTGTTCATCCTTCTTGCAGGTTTCAGATACACTATTTATCTAGTTTTTTTTTTTTTTTTCTCGGTCTCTCTCTCTCTCTCAGTTTGGTCCGACTGCATTCTCAATACAAAGCCGTAAAGTTTCATTCTTTCTGTCAGTATAATCAAGACATTGACTTATTCCAACTTTCTCTCTAATGCTGGCAATTGTAACCCTGTCTCTTCTTGTGTTTTTGGTGACCTTGCGAAGACAGCACATTTCATATGTAGTTATTATCTGTTCTACCGCCCTGATCATTTAATAATCATTAAGTGTCTCGAAGAAAATAACCGAAAGCTAGAGATAAAAACACATTACTCACAACGCATTTCGGAAATCGCTCCTTCAGTGAAGTAATAAGGGCCTCTATCGGCAAGTTCCGGTTACAGACGTCCAACTTTGCCAGCAAAGTATAACTGCCACAGTAGCGGTTTCTGATCGTTTCTGGCGACCCAATGCACACTGGCTCTCCGTTCAGTAAAATTACCACGACTGTTACTTTGTCAGAAATTTCCCGAATTCTTGTAGAAATAAAGACAGATTTAGATGGTCAGTAATCAGTTGTCTAGTTATTATGTATTACTTATTGCTGTTACGTCTGCGGCACTGTCATTAAGTCTAAATTTGGATATGGTATATTTAAAGTAAAGATCCCTTTTCACGCCTTTAGGCGCATCGGGCATATGGGGATTGGTCAGTTAATTGCTTACTAAGACTACATACAGGTAATATACAGTTAAAATATTATTTCTTTACTTGCCAAGGAGCCAGTTTACTGTTGTCTGTCACCATGACTGTGTTTGCCTGTTTATCTGTAGATCTGTCTGGCTATCCCTCTTTTTGTCTCTCTGTCTATTTGTCTGTCAATTCATATATCCATCTATTTATTCATCCATTCATCTAGTCAACCATCTGCCTACCGGCTTATGTTTCTATCTCTTTGTTCTATCAGTTCGTTTCTATCACAATTTAGCACAGCAGCGGCATTAGACTCGGGTCAAAGATAACAGTAACATTGTTCAGATATCATACGATCTAACATTGCTGAAACATTACAGGATAACAGTGACACGGTTCTGATATCAAAGGATGTAACATTGCTGAAACAGTACGGATAACAGTAATACTGTTCTGCAATCAAACGATGTAACACTGCTGAAACATCATAGGACAGCAGTAACATTGTTCAGACATCACAATATTTAACACTGCTGAAACATCATGTGGTAACAGCAATAATGCTCAGGCATCACACCATATTTTACCGCTTTAACGCTATAGCATAAGAGTAACATTGCTCGGACATCACTCTATATAACATTGCTGAAACGTCACGGGATAACAGTAATATTGCTTAGACATCACACCATGTAATCATGCTAAAACGTCACATGATTACAGGAAAACAGAAACAATGTTTAGACATCACAGCATTTAGCACTGCTAAAACATCGTAGGATAATAGTAATATTATTAAGACATCTCATGATGTAAAATTGCTGACGTATCACATGATAACTGCAACATTGTTCAGACATCACGTGATGTAGCACTGCTGAAATGTCACAGGATAACAGTACCTTTGTTTAGATATCACATGATGGAACACTGCTGAAACGTCACAGCATAACAGTAACACTGATAAGATATCACACAATGGAACAATGCTGAAATATCATGGGATAACAGCAACAGAGCTCAGACATCACACGATAACAAAGAGCGACGACACAAAGAGAACACAGAAAGCATAATGAGAGTGAGGCGGGGGAGTCTCTGATTCTCATAATAGGAACCGGGCTTAAAGAGCTTAAACTTTGTTTACATGCTCAGTAATAATTATTAATATATTCTTCTTCTTTTTTTAAGCATTCTCTGGCTTAAAACTTCAGGGACAATTTCTGGTTGTTCGTCCTCTTCTGGACCTTGTCATGTTCCAGAAATTGAGCTATCTTGCATCTCTGATTTACAGATCTGGCTTATTTTATGCAAATAAATGAAATAATACATTTAAAAAAATTAAAAAGTGTAAATAAACACTCACAAAGAGACCGCCTTTCAACGGTCACAAGGATCACCTAGGCCCCTTTTCCACGGGTATAGGGGAACTGCAGTTTCAGCCCTCTCTCCCACCCCCCCCCCCTCCTTTCCCCTAGTGTTAGTGAGTTAATCAAGTAACAGAAAGTGTATTGATCGGCACTCATAGAAAGAAGTAGAAAGATAGAAGAACACACTAGACAACATAAAAGTCGAAAGCTATAGTTACCGTGCCGGGAATTGAACCTATCACCTCTAGACGGCATGTGCGCCTCGCCATGGATACAAGTGCACTAAGAACATGGTCAACTAAGCACCTCCCAAAAAAGGTGTCTTATTGGCCATGTCTATCGTACAACTTGAAATCCACAACTATGGAAAACGGACAGAATTGATTTCAAACCATTGAAATAGCACCTTAGGTTACAGAAATTTATATTAAAGAAGTGTTAGTGAGAAGTCGCCGTGGTGTTAAGGGCTAGACGCCCGATTGCGAATCGAAAGGTCGTGCGCTCACGTCCTGACAAAAACCTGAATTTTTTTTTTTTATATGACTTTGATTGACCCCGCCCGCCTTGAGTGGATACAAGGTGGAGTCCTGAAAAGTAAAGGCGGTCGGGGTGATGCTGACCACATCACCCAACAAGTGCCGATTGGTCTATACCAGTGTTTCCTAAACTTTTCTTAGTCGCGGCGCCTTTTTTCAATTAAAATGTGTCCACGGCGCCCTAACCTAAGTAAAGGTATGACTACTCGTATGTAAAAGATTAAAAAAATTTTTTTTTTCAACTCTTGTATGTTCGAATATTTGGCGGCGCCCCTGTAAGGAGGTCGCAGCTCCCCAGGGCACAGCGGCGCACAGTTTGGGAATCACTGGTCAATACAAATATAGACCTAGTACTATATTCATATTACGACTAAAAGAAGTGAAAAGGGGCAGGTGGTAGTGCAAAGGCCGCCAAGTGCTCGAGCGCCAGCTTTACCGCGTCCCCGATAACCAAGTCATCTGCTCGAAATCAAGAGCCACATTTAGGAGAAAGCTGTCAGCAAAAGACAGTCAACACATTCACTTGGGACAGTACACAGAGCTCACTTGTCCGAGCACATGATGATAGTGGATCCACTCAGCACGGACTTATCCAGAGCTTTCCACACCAGGGATTTGTTCACCACGTCTAAATTTCCGAATGGGTCGTCAAGGAGGATGATCTCCGGATCTCCAACTACGGCCACGGCAATGTTTAGTAGCCTCTGATCACTTGAGCTGAATATATAAGTAATTCCAGTAATTTTTTGGGATACAGAAGTACACGTTTCTGTTAGCAATTACACAGAGCACCAACATTAGAACACTCAAAGTATGTTGTTGTTACTGATCCAACGGCGCATGAGCTTTCACCCTTTGGCCCAGTGCCATGTAGTGGAATTTACATGTTTTCACAAGCTGTTCTTTTCTTTCGTACAAGGTGTTCCACCTGTCTGGTCTCAGAGAGAGTAGCATTCTTCTAGTCTCGTTGAATTTTGGACACTCAAAGAGATGATAGTCAACAGTTTCGTAGGGGCAGTTACATAGCTGGCACTCTGGGGAGTGTTGTGGCTGTATTCTGTTTAGGTGTCCATTGAGTGGAGTCTGTTGTGTTCTGAGTCTGAAGATGGTGGCCTGATCCCTTCTTGTTAAATAGTTAATGCTGTCATTAGGATCAGGGCTAGCCATGTGTCAATAAACCTCTCTTCCAGTATCTCCCATGGCCCATCTGTTCAACCAAGTCTCTTTGTTTATAGCTTTTATAAGTGTTTTTGCTGTCTGTAGGGTTGTCGCTGTAGGTGGTTGTTCTTGTGTTGCTCCTTTCTTTGCCAGTCTGTCAGCTCTGTCATTACCTGAAGTGCCAGAGTGGCCTGGAATCTACTGCATCACTATTCTGATGTTATATGAGATAATGAGCTGATCAGCATCTAGAATGATCTTAGCTATGTCAGTTCTGCAGCGTTCATTCAAAGTATGTCAAAGTAAAGTCAAGGAGCCTTTTCCGCGCCTTTATCCATATAGAGCTAAACCTGTATTTTTATAGACCAATCGGCACAAGATGGGTGATGTGTTCAACATCCCGCCGGTCGCCTTTACTTCCCTGGACTGCATCTGGTACCCACTCAAGGCTGGGTCGACCTGGGAGCAAAGATCATTTTTCAAAAAAGTCAGGCTCCGCCAGGAAGCGAGCCCACGACCTTCAGAACCGCATGCAAGCTTCTTGCCGCTAAGCCACTGCGAATCCCAAAACTCAAAGAACTTCAAAGAAAATCATCCCCTTACATCAGCGGGTCCCTTGAAGTGGTGTCGTGCTCGAAGCGGCCCGCTTGAACGTTTCTCCTTCTCTAGCCATTTTCCTAGTCTTATGTGCTTTCATAATCGACGCATCTTTAATGTGTTGTATCCACCAACTTCTTCTTCTGAAAGTCCATACCTTGCGGCGTTGGTAGTCTATTCACAACCTTCTGTCTCGTCTACTTTCAATCAACTTGCCTTAAGGCGTTGGTAGTCTGTCCACAACCTTCTGTCTCATCTACTTTCAATCAACTTGCATTTGCGGCGTTGGTAGTCTATCCACAACCTTCTGTCTCGTCTAATTTCAATCAACTTGTCTTTGCGGCGTTGGTAGTCTATCCACAACCTTCTGTCTCGTCTAATTTCAATCAACTTGTCTTTGCGGCGTTGGTAGTCTATCCACAACCTTCTGTCTCGTCTACTTTCAATCAATTTACCCTGTGGCGTTGGTAGTCTATCCACAACCTTCTCTTTCGTCTACTTTCAAACAACTTGCCTTGTGGCGTTGGTAGTCTATTCACAACCTTCTGTCTCGTCTACTTTCAATCAACTTGCCTTGTGGCGTTGGTAGTCTATCCACAACCTTCTCTTTCGTCTACTTTCAATTAACTTGGCCACAAATGAACCTCCATGCCATGATGTCAAACTGTCCAGCATCTTTTTTTTCTCTCGGTCTCCCTCTGCCTCTACTACACTCCAACTTTTCCACTTGTACGGTGTTCTCTAGTTTTCTCGCTTCTATACAGTTACAAATACGCGCTTCAGTACAATTATGAGCCATCACCATTAAAGTGGTTGTGGGGAGTAAGGACGGCCGGCGTGATGCTGAGCACATCAGCCTCTTGTGCCGTTTGGTCCGTTTGGTCTATAAAATATGTTCTGGTCCTATATGAACAATACGCCTAAAGGCGTGGGAAAAGGTCCTTTACTTTACCATTAGCGTGATCTAGTATTCAATGACAATTTTAATCTAGGCGGAACATTGCGTTCACCTGTCTGAGCACATGATGATAGTGGATGCACTCATTATAGACTTCTCCACACGCGCTTTCCACACATCTCATTTCACCCATTTTCTTCTTCTTCTTCTTCTTTTTCTTACTCTTCTTCTTCTTCTTTTTCTTCTTCTTCCTCCTCCTCCTCTTCTTCTTCTTCTTCTTCTTCTTCTTCTTCTTCCTCCTCCTCCTACTCCTTTCCTGTAAATTCCAGCGGCAAATTCTGGCTGCTCGCTAACTTCTGGAATGTCATTTTGTTCGAAAACATGAGTTTTGCTATGACATCCGTTCTTCAGATCTGGCTTATGTGTGTGCAGACAATTGGTTCCTAGTCAATCAGACAGATTCACTCCGACTTAGAAGAAAACCCCTGATTAGTCGACTCCCTGCTTGTTATGGGGGTAGTGGGTTTATTCTTGTTTTCCGCCACACTGGGGTTCGGGAAGCCACACTGCGATCAATCAATCAATCAATTCTTTACAAAACGTCGCTCTCTTTGTCGTACGCCTAGAAGTGTCTTTCTCTAGACTATTCTCCAGCCTCGTATGCTTCCATAACCAATGCATCTTCAATATCTTGTATCCACAATTGCGGAGGTCGGCCTCTATCTCATTTTCCGGAAACTCCACCCTCCATCACCGTTCTCTTTAGACCGCCATGGCGTTTGACACGCCCCAAAATACATCAGCTGGTGCTGTTTATGAGCCAGTTGTCCTTTATGTTCATGCCTTGCTGGATGGCGACGTTTCTCTTCTTTTTTGGTGCACGGTATTCTGAGAATTGTTGTGTAGCAAGCATTGTGGTTCAAAAGCTCAGGATTTCTTTTTCAAAGATTGAAACAGGGGAACACCAAATCTAAACTGAACGTGCCTCGGGGCTTCCATTGGCCAGACAGACATGTGGATAAGTGATGTTGCGTATGTTCTTGTGTGTAAATGTAACACTGTCTATTTGTGTCATGTGCTGATGAAGGTTTTCTACTCACAACGTTCATTTGTCGTTTGTAAGTGTGAAAATGTGAAGCCTAATAGTAGCATAAATCACAAAAGTGCCCAAACTTCAAGCAAGGATCAAGTAAGTGCCCGATCTCGGAGAACAAATCAAATAAATGCTCAGTCTCCAAGCAGAGATCACATAAGTGCCCGGTCTCAAATTATAGGTCACACAAGTGCCCAATCTCTATAGGTCACATAAATGCCCAATCTCCAAGCATATATCACGTAAGCACCTAATCTTCAAGCATGGTTGACAAAAATTTACAATCACAAGTATTTCTCCCAGTTTTAATAGATCACTTATGTGCAGTCTTAAAGCAAAGATCACATAGGTGTCTAACACCCTAAAAAAGATCACATATGCTACACTCTAAAAACACAAATCCCAAAGGTTCCCCCAAGTCTCCACAGAAGATTGAATTACGAACGCTGCTAATCACAAGATGTGCGCGCATCAGTCTTCCCGTCCCCCTTACCTGAATTTCGCGGACCGAATGTCGGCTTTATCCAGAAGATTGAACGTCTTGAGAACAGAATCCACCACCGTGTCTAAGTCTTTATCCTTGATGCCTCGCAGTTTTGCGTGGATGATCAGAACCTCACGGGCGGTCAACACTCCCACAACAGAGTCGATCTCCATGCAGTAGCCAATAGGCGTGTACGACTAGGAGATGATGCAATTGATGTTACTGACTGGATTACAAGGAAACAGACTAGGGACAGTAGGGCTGTGTGCTTGTTGCTGGGAGCATGACCGGGTCATTAAATATAACGTGAGCATTGTGCGTGGAGTTATCGTTATCTTTACCACGTAGGATGTTGGTGTTGTTAACCTTGAAAGAGCTGTAGATTGCCCGATTCTGCCATAGATGCAAAGATGGCTGGCCCATGGATCGCCCCGAGATTGTTAAAGCCCGTAGAGAAATAGAACGATGGGAGACTTTTGTCAGCAAGGTGTCCACAGCACTGCTAAATATGTGAAAACTAGCAGTAAAGATCGGCGCAACCAAGCATAAGAGACGCACTCGACGTACAGTAAATAGTGGTAACCAGTACACATCTGAACTATTAACTGCACGACGCTGAAGTCAATGACGAAGAGAGAATATGAGCATCTAGCGTCTATGGAAGTGACCGGAGATAAGACAGTCAACCAGCATCACCAATGTTAGTTGCTCAAATGCTAGAGACTAGATATTAGTAGTGCCCTTGATGGATGTCAGCTTGCGACTTGTTACCTAACGCACTGTCGGCACCATCAGTACTGGAACTCTGCACTGGCTGCTGAAGATGAGGACGGAGCACGCATAGGAATGGGTGTGATGGTAATTCTTGATTCAGCTCAACTCAACTCTACCAAACGAAATGTGTGTTCATAGTCTGTCTTGGTTCTGACAAGTCCAGCATCTGGAGTCTTAACTAAAGTAGTGGTTATTCGTCCGAGTAGAAGTAGGAGTTATTCGTAAAATTGTTGTAGGACTGACCCTAAATAATTACGAACCCTTATACCCTATCAAAATCTCCAGCATTATTGTATGCTTATTAAAATGTTCAAGTCTGACCTAATCTACTGATATACCCAGTTTACAGGTTGATTTTAATATAATTAAAAAAAAAAAATTTCTTTAAATATCAAAAGAAAAAACATCTATGAAGCAAAGCGTGCCATACAAACAGGTACTATTTGTCTACCACCTGGCAAAATGCTAACGTCGCCCGGTATGCAGACAACAAGAAATCGGCCATTTTGTATAGTCAGTGAAAGTTGCATTGTTACGTATGCTTTTCGTCGAAGTCATGGAACGGATGCTTCAAAGACGAATGTCTAAAGCGAAACAAAACATAACATAACCCTTTATCTCTTGGAGTCGTGAAGTTATATCGACGGAATCATCAGCATATAAAACCAGCCATCTTTTGCTGTCTTTCGTTGGTTAAACAAATGTATAGGTATTTAGTCCTGTCCTGTTCATACCTTGATGTTGTTATTGCAGGTTCTTCTTTAACCCCCTTTCTTCGACTAACAGCCCCCGACCCCCACCCCCCACCCCCACCCTCGTTCGTTGGTTAGTAATCCGTTATTATAGTTATTATGTAGTTATATGTATTTCCTTTACAGAGCAAGTAATCCTAACCATTTTTGGGTTGCTGGAGTTTTTTCCTAACAAATGTTGAGCTTGAAATAAATGAGCAATAAGATGATCATATTTTGTCTAAGTCAACTCTGAGTAGCTCTTCTTCTTCTACTTCTACTTCTACTACTTCTTCTTCTACTTCTTTTTCTACTTCTTTTTCTACTTCTTTTTCTACTTCTTTTTCTACTTCGTCTTCCTCTTCTTCTTCTTCTGCTTCTTCTGCTGCTTCTGCTGCTTCTTCTGCTGCTTCTGCTGCTTCTGCTGCTTCTTCTGCTGCTTCTGCTATTTCTTCTTTTTCTTTTTCTACTTCTTCTTCTTCTTTCCCTTCTTCTTCTTCCTCTTCTTCTTCTTCTTCCTCTTCTTCTTCTTCTTCCTCCTTCTTCTTCTTCCTCCTTCTTCTTCCTCCTTCTTCTTCTTCCTCCCTCTTCTTCTTCCTCCTTCTTCTTCTTCTTCTTCTTATTCTTCTTCTTCTTCTTCTTATTCTTCTTCTTCTTCTTCTTTTTCTTCTTCTTCTTCTTCCTCTTCTTCCTGTTCTTCCTCTTCTTCCTGTTCTTCCTCTTCTTCCTGTTCTTCCTCTTCTTGCTGTTCTTCTTCTTCTTGCTGTTCTTCTTCTTCTTGCTGTTCTTCTTCTTCTTGCTGTTCTTCTTCTTCTTGCTGTTCTTCTTCTTCTTGCTGTTCTTCTTCTTCTTCCTGTTCTTCTTCTTCTTCTTCTTCTTCTTCGTCTTCTTCTTCTTCTTCTTCTTCTTCTTCTTCTTCTTCTTCTTCTTCTTCTTCTTCTTCTTCTTCTTCTTCTTCTTCTTCTTCTTCCTCTTCTTCTTCTTCTTCTTCTTCTTCTTCTTCTTCCTGTTCTTCTTCTTCTTCCTGTTCTCCTTCTTCTTCTTCTTCTTCATCCTCTTCTTCTTCTCTTCTTCTTCCTCTTCTTCTTCTTCTTCCTCTTCTTCTTGCGAGGTTGGAACACTGCGTTGGAGTTTACACGGAGGCTGCGATTATAAGTGCTAGACCTGCGGACTCAGACCTTAAGCGCCGTCCCCACGTAAAACTATTTGCCCGGAGGAAAAGAGCTCCACGTTTCAGAGCAATATAAAACGCCTGGTCTTATCAATGTTTTATATATTTTGATCTTGGTGTCGCGAGAAAGAAACTTTGACTTTAGCAGATATTGATATATATATATATATATGTATATATATATATATATATATATATATATATATATATATATGTATATATATATGTATATATATATATATATATATATATATATATATATATATATATATATATATATATATATATATATATATATATATATATATTGGTGAATAGTCGCCATCGGACGTCGAATACACCCTGAGGGAAGTCTAAACTCACGTGCATGTACTCCATTGCACGGTTCAGACCCCATTCCGATGAAACTTTCACATTATACGTGAGCGAAAATAGTTAATTTGTGCCATTCGCCTCAACGGACGAAAAAGCGTGCCGCCATTGTGGCTGTTTACACCGGAAGTATATATATACCTCAAAATATGTGCTGATAAGAAACACCCACTGCATCAAGCGCTTTTTAGTGAAAAGGGCGACAGACTGAAGAGGGGAAAATCGTGGCTAGGTCGGGCAGAAGATGTTATTAGGCAAATATGCAGTCTAACCGACATCATACCTGGTGAAGAATGGATACCTGTGCCTCAGGCATTTATTTGTACATTTTCCTGTATTGTCACACTCAACAGGCGATGTAGAGAAGAGAATCCTGTTGCTGTTAATGCAGAGGTCAACGCTCTCATCGCTGAAAATTCAGACGAAGCAGATGCACTAATCTATACAGACGGATCCGTTATACGCCAAAGAAGAAGCGCATGGGCATTTACAGCACGCTCGGCGGGCAGAACAGTCAAAGAAGCCAACGGTGCCTTCTCCATGACAACCAGCAGCATGACGATGGAGGTGATGGCAGTGACGCAAGCGTTTGCCTGGCTTGAAACACAAAAATACACCCGCATATGTATACTCAGTGATTCAATGAGTATGATCCGGAGGGTTCAGGCAGGTTCAGTGCGAAGACAATGGCTTGAATCAATTCAGAAGTCCACTGTGCGAGTAGTCACCTTTATTTTTGTTCCGGGACACGCAGGCGTCGATGGAAATGAAAGAGCTGACAGGTTGGCTGGATCCGCTATCACTACCGACGGTCGGCCATTGGATCATGCTGATATTATCAATGCCCTCAGAGAAATGGGAAGGATAGAGGACTTTGGTGGCAGGGAATCCACATCACTCGCCAGAATGGCAGACTTGGGAATTAAGATCGGCACAGCAAAAAACGAGACGCACACCGGACACGTCAGAAGACTTGTTAATCAACATAGAACTGGTACTATTAGCCATCGGACGTTGGGGTTCATACTGAGGGGAGGATCTGAGCACCTATGGACATGTCCGGAGTGCAATGATGATAACCCAACTAACTAACTAACTAACTAATATATATATATATATATATATATATATATATATATATATATATATATATATATATATATATATATATAATTGTATTTATCATTCACGACCCAAAAATAAATTATTTTTACTCAAATTGTCATTATTTTTACTGCTAAGTAAACAAATCTTTTGAACCCACTGCCATATCTATAATTTTCAAATGGATGGGGCTCAAGAAGTTTAAACCATGTTTAATTGTGCAATAATAATAATTATTATTCCAGGGTTAAACAAGGCTTCATATCCTTCCCTGCCCTTTTAACAATGGCTGCACTTTTCCGCCAAACACAGCTGCTTTCAGCAAAAGTCCTAATAAGTCACCGTTAAACACTTTTTTTAAAATGGACGCCTCTTAGAAAAGCTGTCTTGATATATCAGCGATTCTCAACCTGTGGGTCGCAATCCCTTCGGGGCTTGAACAACCGTTTCATAGGGATTGATTAGGACCATCGGAAAACATGTTCACTGGAGTGATGAAGTAGCAACGAAAACAAAGAAGATGACTGAGGAACTGTAGTAAAGGGTGACAGCATTATTAATGCTTAAAACCAGGCGATACATAGGTTAGCTGCGTATCCTTTGCAGGACGTTGCAGAACCAGTTTGGTTTTTCAAGGCAAATTCACGTCCAGTAGTTTGCCAATGCTTTCTGGACGGTCGGTTTTCTTAAAACCACTGCCGAAACCAAACGCAAGGCGCATGGCCCGCATCTGGGATCGAACCCGGCATCCCGGCATTACGAAGCGTTCGCATCGACTTAGCCACAGAGCCCACAGGCGATACATGAAGAAACAATATACCGGTTTTCCGTGGACTACAAAGTGCTGTCCTTTCACGATGATTTTCCCGGTGAAAGGTAGACTTCTCCCGCTGAGTAGTTTCAAGATCCTAGAGGCTGTCGACTTCTCCGTATCCACGAAACAGTAACACTCTCCCTTCTTTATCAGCAGATTTAATCGTGGAGGTCCAGTGTAGTCTGCGTCGCCGTAGTCGACCCCAACCATTCGGATCATGCCCACATCTGAAAGGAACAGATTATATAGATGAGCTACCACATTTGACTTACACAACGAAGATCAATTGCTCTTCAAAGACTAAAACAACTGAATAAATTATGGAGTGGGACAGACAGAACTACAGAAATAAGATTTCTAAGAGCAAGCATCTTACCTATTGCAACATGCGTCTGTGAGACCTGGACTCTTACTAAACAAGCTGAACAGCGCATAAATGCCTTGGAATACAAATGTTATGAACGGGTTCTTAGAATATCATGGGTAAAGAAAAGAACAAATGCATCCATACTTCAAGAACTGAATACTAGAGGTTGGCAATTTAAGACGATAAAACACAGAAAAATTAAATTATTTGGTCAACTGAAACCTCACGAAAGTTAGGAGAGAACAGTAATGGATGGGTATATGCCTGGGAAGAGAGGAAGATGAAGGCCAAAGAGAATATCGGTGCAGGACGTAGGGGATGATCTCCAGATGGGTGTATCGGGCACGGGACATCTTGTTGTGATCGAGAAGTTTTCCGGAGGGTTGTAATGGGTGCAAGGTTCTGCAAAGGACATGCTACTGACTGATTGGACACATTTGCCCTGTTCGATTCTAGATGCGGGCCGTTTTGCAGCAGAGCGCTTTCCAATGATTTCGACAGTTGCATAGAAGATCGGGAAGCCGCACTGGTGTAGCAGATAGACGCTCGCCTGCTGATTGGAAGGTCGTCGGTTCGGATCCTGACGGTGCCGAACGCTTCTAAAAAAGGATCTTGGCTTCCAGGTTAACACAGTCTTAAATGGGTACCAGTTAAAGTCCTGGGAAATAAAGGCAGTCAGTGTGATGTTAACCATAGAAGGAGCCGAGTGTCGACTGATCTATAAAATGTATGCCTAGCCCTATATGCCCAACACGCTTAAAGGCGTGCAAAGGAATGCTTCACTTTTACCAGATTTGACGGGTTGCGAACGCGCTGCGTAATTCTAAAATACCCAGTTTGATTCTAGCTGCAGACAATTTAGTCCCAGATCGCTTTGCGATGATAAAGACACTGGTATACAGACAACCGACCATCCAGATAGCAACGACAAATTACTTAGCGTACACATGCCTAGTCATGAAGACTTCCCGCACAAGAGGGTTTCAACAAGGTATAGAGAACCGAAGGCGTTGCGGGTCCGACCCGTAATTCCGACGTACCGCGATCGAAACCCACAGCTGGCTGCGTGGATTTTTATCATGGTATGGGGCGTCGCTGGTCGACCCCGCCTAAAACGAGTACCTGGATGTATGTCCTGGGGAAGTAAAGACCACATTACCCACCCAGTGCCGATTGTCTGTAAAAAATATGGGACGCTCTTCCCATATGCCCGATGCGTCTAAGACGTGTAAAAGGGATCTTTACTTTTAAAGTAAAGTAAGTTACATTACTTTAAAGAGAACCGAATAAACGTACAAATGCGTAGTCAAATCACACGCACTCACAAACACACACACATACGCCAACACATACACCCACACATACACACAAACCCACAGCCAAACTTTATGTGGAAGCGTCAAGGATTGGGTTAAAATAGACAAATGGTACATAAACAGAGTAATGAAGATTTCTCTACATCAGACTGCGACCATCTACATTCTGTGACAATGTCAGCAGGAGTAAAAAACTGCAATACATCTACACTTTGGAAAAGCTGTGGGGGTTGGGGGGGGGGGGAAAGACCCAGAGAAAAGTCGTTAGAACAACAGTTTGACATCATGGCATGGAAGACCATCTGTGTCAGAACTGATTCAGAGTACACGAGAAAAATGGTTGTGAATATATGTGACAACCAAAGCCACACGGACTCTATAAGATGAAAAACATCACAGACAGCCAGATAGATCATCAGCGGTCGGATCGCCCATTGGCTGGCCGGTAGACTACTTCGTCGCCGATCGGGACAGTATCTGAGTCTGTCTCCCTTGACCGCATCAGCCATGCAGGAATCCTTTTCAGGGCTCTTGGTGGCTTGCAATGCTTAGCCATTTCATACAGCGCACATAAGCTAAAGCTTCCCCTTCGGGGGATGCTGGTTGAATGTGACGAAAGCAAGCCAAAAGGCAACAAGATTACATCAACATCCCGCCCCAATATTGGTTGCAATGATGTGATCTATTTGAAAGCCTCACCCCGGTTGTTATCGGGTGCCCTAATGTACCTAATGACTAAAAAAAAGTTTATGGGGGTTATTATCCAATTGGTCGCACTTTGTGTCACCGTGTGTTAGTCGATGATTGTGCGCTCCTGTTGGGGTTAAAAGTCACTCACTCAGACAGCCAGGCAGTGCTGGGTTGGTAAAGGACATGCGGCAAACTTTAAACAACTGTAAACCAGTTACAAGTGTATGACTTTTTTTTTCCAGTAGAGTATAGGCCTTTTGATGCTATACTCTTTTGTGTCAACCGATCAGCACTGAATGGGTACATGGGCTAACATCGCGCAAGCCGGTTTCTACTTCTCCGGATACTTTATGGTTGGCAATGCGTCGCAGCTTTCAACGGCATAAACAAAATATGGAACTGTAAATTGTATCGTTTTGAAAACCACATTATGCATATTTAATTCACATGTTATTTCAGTCTAAAATATGTGCCAGTAAAAGTTAGAGAACCACTAAAAAAAACAGTTCCCCCCTCCCCTTTTTCTCCCCACAACCACACCCATACACACACGTACGCACACACACATCAGGGCCGCGTTAGCGTAGTCGATAGGAGGCTCGCTTTCAAATCCAGCTGCAACTCGCTGCAGCCACGGTTGGTGTTCGAAACCGGGCGGTTCCCGGGGTTTACCCAGCCTCTAGGTAATGGGTACCAGAGTTAACACTCTGGGGTAAATGGAGGAACGTCACTGTAGGTACGGAGTTACGTGCGGACGGCGACACAGGCGGACAATTCTTATCAGCTGTCCGTACTGGTGGCAGAGTACTTATGGTTTATAACCGTGTGCAATGACGCTGGTTCACATCTCCAGACTATCTTTGCACACACTCACACACGCACAGACACACATACGCACACACACACGCACACACGCGCGTGCCCACACACGCACACACACGCGTGCACACACACACACACACATGCACCCACACGCGCGCGCACACACACACGCACACACACACACAGCTATTATGACATAATCAAACGCCACCTGAAAGAAATCAACATTGGCACAGTCACGTGGGAGAGATCAGCTGCAGACCGACTCCTTTGAAGGCAGGCAGTGAAACGCGGACTGTCGCTGTTAGCAAGAGGCCGAACGCAGCCAGCTACAGTGAGTGGACTTCTGAAAGACAACCAGCCTCAAGACGAAACCGTATCAACGTTTTTATGTGGACTATGTTGCAGAGACTGCCGCTTCCGCACTGGACGCTGTTCTTAAAATCAGCAGCACAACTCCATGTTCCACAGGGACTGATGGTTGCCAACATTCATTCATTCATTTATGCATTCATTCATTCATTCCTTCATTCATTCATTTAGTTCCATACCATTGGAAGTGCTCTGCAGCATTGCCAGGTGCTCTGAAATGCCCGGATCAACCCACAGTAACTGCGAGGGAACTTTCTTCACACTCCTCCGTCTAATAAACAGACTTTGTATATTGAAAGTTTTTCTTCCCAGGGACAAGCTCCTGGTCTTCGGCCTCTTCCCACAAGTTTTAAATATGAGTGTCTTCCAGTAGCCTGCCGCTTTTAGTCTGTGGAAAATACAACAAAAATCCGATCATCAGGTTGAATTACTCAACGCAGAATTGAACCCTGGTCCTTCGAGCGGCAAGCCAGTGCTAGCAACTGCGGCATATTATTTTTAATAGATTCTGCTATCTATCTGTCAGTCACTAGTGAGGTGAGTGTGAATTGTTGGTTTATATGTAAATGGGGCAATGTGGACGTAACAGGGAAGGTGTATATAATATAAGCAATGAGTGATGTGAATTTGGAGATCCACGAACCACATTTTATAGTGGTAAAGTGATCGAGAAACCACATTTTATAGAGACAAAGTGATCTGCAAACCACATTTTATAGAGGTAAAGTGATCCGCAAACCAGATTTTATAGAGATGAAGCGATCTGCAAACCACATTTTATAGAGGTAAAGTGATCGGCAAACCAGATTTTACAGAGGTAAAGTGATCCGCAAACCAGATTTTATAGAGATGGAGCGATCTGCAAACCACATTTTATAGAGGTAAAGTGATCCGCAAACCACATTTTATAGAGGTAAAGTGATCCGCAAACCACAT